AGCGTTACGTAACAGAGTCCCTATGTAATATTGGTCTATTTTACTGTAGAATCGGTGGTTCCTATATTAGATATATTTCCTATAAGCATAATTTGAGCCATAATTTTATTTCACAATTACGAAACGCACTGTAAGTTATTTGGAAATAATGGCCACCAATTGTGCTTACTGTTAGATTTTGTAAACATATTAGTAAGCAATAATTTTGTATAAAGCTGAAGACAATAGTTTGGTAGTCAGCCAGTCAGTGAAATAATTGTAATGTGGTCTATATAGATTGATGACCATTGTTAAAAAAAATTATTACTAATTTATAAACTGTAAAAGAAGTAATTAATAATAAAAAAAATCATCTCAATCAAGAATATTTTTTGTACTCTGTTACCGCTCTTGCCCAGCTATCCAAATCAAATTCAAAATATGTATTTTTTTTTGCCAATTCAACGAATAAATCAATAAATATAAACATGTATATAATATTTTTTATTTCGTTCGGATAATTCAAAATATCTGAAAGTGATAAGCGTATGTATGTTCCAGCAATGCCCCCGAAACGCCATTTTTACTTGAGATTGTATTTGAAATCTATAAGTTCAAGTGAAAATCTGATTTCGTACTGAAGTAAGCTTTAAATTGATATTTTTTTCTTGTTTTTCATACTTTTTTTTGAACAATAATAATAATTGATATTTGATGTAATAGTAGTAATAATTTCAGAAGGTAATTTTACGATTGGCCTAATTAATTTAAAATTTCAATATCAAAATTTATTTATTACTGATTATATATAATTAATTTTATGCGGCATGTCTAGGAAAGACAATTTTAATTAGAGATATATTTTAAGGAGAAAATGTGATATCAGGTTGTAACGAGACGAGGAGAACCAGGGTCTTCTGGTTTTACAGTTAATAGATAAATTGAACAATAAACAATAGTGATATTTTGTTTCTTGCATGATGTTCTAAAATAGTTTTTACCTATCGAAATTATTAGAAGCATTGTGTTGTAAAATGATGTACCCTTAGATATACCGTTATTTTACCTGACCATAACCCTAAGAGTGGACAGAGGACTAGGTTGTCCTTTGTTCACTTACCATGAGCATATCTACATTTGAAAGATTGAATTTAATTATCTAAATATTAAATATTAATAATTTATCAAATATTAATGATATATTTTTTGATGACGGGTAAGACCTGTTTTCACTTATTGTTAGAAATGTATTTTTTGTTAATATTTTCAAGCAAAAATTGATATCACTACTTGTTGATATCAAATTGTAAAATGGGATAGAGCCAAGGACTCTTGTTACAAAGTTAATAGATAAATTTATATATATTATAATGATATATTTATTACATCACAGTATTGATATCCACTTATATTTGAAACTGCAATAAAAAATACCATATATAGTATAGATGTAACACTGAATAGATTATGATATAAATTAAAAATTGCGTTAAATAAAAAATAAATATATATAAAAAACAAATATGATGTCGAATTTTGAAGAATGTGAAAATATTTTTTTGTAGAACAATGAATAGAATCATAAAAAGAAAAGAATAGATTATAAAAAAGTATGAAAAATAAAGAAGTATGCTAAAAATCGACATGGTCAATAAATCAATTTGATGATAATATATTCTGTATAAATATATTAAGTAAGTAATGAGCGTAGCAAAACAATAAAAATTAATAAAAAAATAATATTAAAAACTAATAGTTATTATAGAAAAACATGGTATATTATAGTAAAATATGGTATTTGAATTATATGTTTACAATATGTTTATTTTTTTCTATAGTTTATTCATATTCAACACTTACAATTTACTGAACAAAGCTTCAGACTTATTATGTAATGCTCGAAATTTATGATTATCATTCAAAAAAGTCGTTATAAATTCAGGATAATCGCGAAATAATATAATTTCATGCAAAAGAAATTTAGAAGCGGTCATGCGTTTTATATCATGGTTACTTTTACAAAGAGTTTTACAGAACTCATTTGTAATTTTATCAAGTAATTTTACAACGATTTGGAAATTAACTTCACGTTGAGGAACATCTTCGCCATCAAACTCCACCTATAAATAAAAATATAAAAAATTTACTTTTCTTAAGACAGATTATTGAATTTTTTTCTGAAACTTTAGGCGTACCGAATGTCTAATCCATTGCCAAATTTGTGATCGACAAATCTCAGCAGTTGCTGAATCTTCAACAGCACCATTAGAAAAAAGTGGCCCTTACCTTCAAACCAGTGATAAATAAATAGTAATGATACTTTTATATTAATAAGACCATCAAAGGTGACACCACCCTTTGGTAACAGAAAAAGATCGTTCTCCTTAATGTCTAATATTGATGACCTTGTTTATTTCTCTCTTTTATCCACAACTGAAAATAGATTATTATAGTTTGGAATACATAATTAAAATGTTTTATCGAATTCATCTACCTCATTCATGTAAGGCACTAGTTCTAGATCATAAATTAGAAAACCATCAAAACCTAGATGGATCTCTATCCTTTTCGCCTGTAGAACTTTATCTACAATTTCCTTAGATCTAGAAATAAAAAAGTATTATGGTACCGACTGGTAAGTTGCAGTCAGAAATACTAACATTTTGGATTTTTCATTTTTAACCAGGAGAGCAGCCATTCCTGCAGTAGCTGGTGCTCCTCGCTGGTGACAAGTTTTCAACACAAGTTTCATATAGTTTGCCAGAAATGGTTTGTCCATATTAACATATTTATTCCTATCAGGTATGATAAAGGACTTCTTGAATCCTAAATTATACAATTGTTACCGCCTGTTGAACTCATTTCGTATCATCAAAACTCCTTACCAAATTTAGAAATTATAGAAGCCGAGTAGTCCCATATACCACAATTAAGTCCCAACGAATGTTCTTTGAGTGAATACAAAATTTCATCCATGGCAAAAACTGCACATATATTTTCAATAAGCACACATGCTTTAATAGTTCCTTGTTTGATGTCTAACATTTTCTGAGACCAGATAAATATGTCGTTCCATAAACAAGTCTCGTTAGGACCTTCAATTTTTGATAAGTAAAAATAAGGACCGCATTGCTTCTTAGCTAATCTTTTTCCACAATGATACATCAGCATAGAGAAGTCAAACAAGGAACCAGGAACAATTTTGCCATTTATCTAAAAATATGATTCGACCTTGAAATATGTAAGTTGTTAATAAGTTTGATCTTAATTCTTCTTACTATGCAATGATGTTCATACATATTCCATGCACGTGGTCTTAACATTAAAATTGGACATGATTCTATATCTATAGGTACTCCTGGTAACTTTCCATTTACTGCCATATACACGTTATAAATTCCCTGAATAGTATTTCGCCAAGTTGGGCAATGCCCATCATCAAAATCTACCTGAGAATATAATCCGTTAAACATAAAATATCCTTTGATCCCTTAAAAATTCAATTGATTGATACAATTAATCCATTACCTGGAAATTATTATATAATAATCTTAACTGTAAAGTAAATATTTCCCAAATAATTATTACCTGTACGCCTTGAACCTTGGCATTTAAGGAATCCACAAAATGGATTGTGTTGGATGGAGATACATCTCCCAAATCTACATTTCTGTTGCAAAGTTTCTCAGGTAAAGGATCGATTCGCCAACTCTAAAATAGAAATTATATTTCTTGTTTCTTGGAAGATCTAAGACCAGGTATAATTATGTAAAAACCGAACTGAACACACTGATAAAATTTTTTTATGGAATGAAATCAGAGTTGTGCGATGTTTTACATTTTGCACGATATTTGTTGGACTCTTTTTAGTATTTTTTACCTAACGTAATTATGGTAAGTATTATAAACATTTTTTGTAGATTGATATACCCATATTTAAAAAGAAATACTGTTATTTTATCTGATTATTATCAATGGTTGTCTATGACTATTCACCAGGAGCATGCATAAAAAAAAATGCAAACATTCTGATTCGTTCAAATTTATGGAGGCAAAAGTAAGACTGATTATAGTTGATATAAAATAAATTTAAAAAAAATTGCAATAATGATTGGGTGGTCGACAGTGAGATTACAATGTGAAATAGTTCAATGATATGCCACTCCACATTACAATTGCAATTTTAATTGCAAGAGAAATTATTTTATCATTACTTAAAAACATGGCATGTCAGTGGCTCTGTGTTAAGAGCTTCGGTCTTGCAACCAGATTCCCGAATTTATTACCATTTTTAGACAACCACTGAGTTATCTTCTAATAAAACTAATTTAATGAATTTCCTCAAAACAGTTTATAGAATACAGAAGAATAGTTCTAATTGTTGTTCAAGCAAATTTAAGTTATTATTTATAAGCAAAACGGGCTTTTCCAAAGGTTAGTGGTTAAAGTTCTGACTTTCCAACCAGATGGGTCCGAAATCTTCCACTGCATCCAGTGTTAGTTGATGATACTCTTTACAACTTTTATATTTCCACTAAAGTAAAAATTTAATTTCATAATTTTAAGGTTACTATATGGAAGGTCAGGGCAGCTATGGAACTAATGTGTAGACGACGTTCAAGAGTGCCTGGAATGCCTTAAAAAAGAATTTGGAAGAAAAAAATAGGCCAGTCAAGTTTTGTAACTATCCTTGAACGTCATTGAGATGCAAAGAAAAGAAACAGACAATTGTCAAAAATGTAATGCGAGACAAGCCACATGGAATGGAATTTGGACATATGCAATATAAGAACCTTAGCCACACATGTGGTCCCACTTCCTAATTTCTGTTGAAAACTTATTACTTTGAACACATGTGCACAAGATTTTAGTTCGACAAAAAGCGCAATTGATTCTGTAAATATCACTCCTTGATTAAGTAAATAATTAGTTGCTGATATCAATTATCACAAGTACTGCCAATGATAAGACTTACTTACAATTAGTCTTATGGACATAAGGTGAGACTAATTTTTGGATATATAATATAAAACATCGGCCAAATGTGTCTGACTTAATTTCAGACAAAATTTTATTATTTTGAGCACATGTATAATATTCTAGTTATGCAGCTAATTCAAATCATTATTGATTATGTCAATATCACTCGATAAATAAATAAAACGTTATTTGATTTTCTCAGAGCAAACATCACGAGTACTGCGAATATGATAAGATTTACTTATTTTTTATTGGCAGAAGACCAAAGTACTACTTGATGAAAGTATATAAGTAGAGAAATATTGGAAAATCACAGCAGTTGGAGTTCTGCTGGCAAAGGCACAGGTCAGAAAATCTTTGGAGTAATTGCTTTAAAATATTGTATTATATTAGAATTGAGATACAAAAAAATTATAATTATCTATATAACTGTAATGTCTGGCATATGCATTTATATTAAGGGACCAATGTTATAGCAAGGCTATTTTATGAAGAACTTTCCATACATATTCGCTTTAAATATTGACAAAGGCTATGCGGTTGCTGTGCAGTCAGGCGATTTTCTCAGGTTGTCAGATAGAAAACCTAGAAACCGCACAAATGTAAAAAAAAAACAAAGTTAGATAACAGGATCTTTCTGACTCAGGTTCATAACATACGAGTAACGTTGCTGTTTACGTGTAAAACGCCTGAATGCGCAGCAAAAACATGACATTTTGACAGTATTCAGTATGATTCAGTAGCATAATGTATATCATATTACGTAACATGGCCTTGCCATAACATTTGTCTGTTATACGGCAGAATCGGTCCCTTAGGGTTTGTAATTGTTTTTTTTCAATTTTATTGCATAGGATTTTCATGTTACATACCATAATTTAGATCTTTGGAAAAAATTGATAGATGAATTGAATGTCTCTATCTATGATTCCCTAATTATGTTTGTAACTGCAATGTTGCTTTTCAAATGTTAACCCTTTCCACTCGGATGGCGACAAAATACATATTAATCTCGCAATTCGCAAGTGTTGCAAGGATTGATATTTATTTTGCATCGTTATAAAGAACTTCAAGCAATAATGTGAGAAACTTGACAACAGCGCCTTGACGTGGTCAATTTTTTGCTACTATGTTCACACAAGTGCTTCAAGCGCAGTTGCCAGATTTAACATATTTTAGCTGGGCAGTGTATCACTTTTGTTAGCAATATTGGAATTGTGTGGATTAATTGTTTTCTTTTGATTTGTTAACATTTGTTGCATGTTGTTGTGAGCAAGAACTGAAAACAAACAAGGATATTTTTGTAAAAATTTGTTCATTATCGGTGTTTTGAAGTTCTGGTATGTCGTACTAATAGTGTTTATGCAAGAACGCAGTAAATAACATTCAAATAATTATAACAGTTGATTGGTTTATATTAGCACATTTGATGAAAGAAGTGCAATCCATCAGTATGTACACATTCCTTGATTTTCTAATAAACAAAATTTGTAAACAAGATGAAAGGATTGTTGAATAATCAATTCGACAGTAAATGTGATTTCATAGACGTTGGTCAAAGTGAAAAACTTGACATATTGGGTGGGTAAGAAAATTGATTGTTTTCAAGATGATATTTTTCTAAATTTCCAAATTTTTCCTTTTTTCAGAACAATAAAATTCAGGATTTAGCATGCAATTTCTAGTAAATCTTCTAAGTTATATCTAGTCAACTATATAATATAAAGTGTATCTATATTATTTGCAACTAAATGAAATATGAATAGCAACTAGTAAAATAAGAATGTATAGTATCATATAACGCCACGTTGTCAAAGTGCTCGGGTATAAACACATATTTCTAGGAAGTCATATAATAAGATAATATTGTTTATATTATCACTTTTTAGAAACAGTTATCAGTTCTTTAGGTTTTCTATGTTCTAAGCACTTAAGTCTAAGAAGTGCTCTAAATCCAAAAAAGCACAAATGCCTTAGTTAAATGCTCAAAAAGAAAATTCAGTTTTTCAAAAAATTACAAATTTTAGGTACGAGAAGTTTTGGCGTTTTTAGTTTTCGGTGAGAAAAGTTCTAGCAATTTGCCTTAAAACACCACTAATTTCAATATTTAATTATCGCATTATTTTGTTTAATATTTTCTTAAATATATTATGTAATATTTTTATTTGATAAATCTGTACCAGAGGATGATATACAGTTGCCGATTTTTCCGCTATGAAATAAGATACGACGTTAAATTTAGTAATGAGAATTGTCTCTTAGGAAGTTTCTCACAAGTAATCGGTAATTCATACCGATGATTAAATTTCGTATACCCGACACATATAAATATATAAATATATATTTTATGTACATTTTTAATTTTCTAGATATTTTTTTTATTATCTCTTTTATTTACAACTGTCCAGTAAAGGACATTCAATAAATTTGATGAATTTACAATAGTCGGCCGAAAAGGGACTTTGTATATTACAAGGGCATGTAATGTTGGAAAAAACAACTCAGTAGTTACTCAGTAGTCATTTTCTGGATATTATCACTTTTTCAAAAAAACTAAACTATTAATTTAAAAATGTAATACTTCATCAAACATTAATAAAATATGCTTTGTACACAAAACACACTTTTAATTTCTCACCGACAACTGATTGAAAGAAAATTGTTTGTAAAATCAATTTTCATAAAGATTATTCTACAAACACTAAACTTCAAAATAGGTATAAAGTAATCAAAAAAAAAAAAACAATTCAAATTTTAATTTCACAATCAAACAAGATTAACATCACAAGCACACACTATAAAAACACTAATTGTAAGAAAAATCTAGTAAAATGGATACATGATTTCTGGTTGTTCAATATAAAATCAATCAGAGTATCATTTATATTTTTAGGTGAATTTATGAATTAATTTATAGTGAGTGTGTTTTTGAATGTTTTTTCTTTGTAAAAAGTAAAAAGGGTATTATTTCAGATTTTGAATATATAAAGTGTAAAATGTATGAAGAATTTTTTGGTTTGTTTTTAAAAATTCAAGAAGGACATCCCATTTCCCCAATACTTACAAATTATGTAATAAAAAATTATTAAAATTAAATAATTATTGAATGAAAAATTAAATATATTATATTTTTATATTTCAATTATTTCATTATTATAATAGAATAAACTGCTAGTTGACTGATTTAACTATTGAGTCACTTCAAAATTAATAAAATTATAGAAAACGATATTTGATAAGAAAAATCAAGTAATAAATTGGAAATTGACCCTAAGAGTCAAAAACCAAAATAATAAAAAAGTGAGCAATAAAATATGAGGTTGAATATTGAGTGATATTTCACTATTTTGTTTATTGATACAGAAAAAATTTAAATGAATAAAACAAGATTTTGCAAATCTTCTATTTAAGAAAAATGACCTGTGTTTTTTTTTTTAAAATATAATGTAATTAATAAAGTTTGTTTTAGTTTGTTTTAAATGAGTTTGTTCAAAAATGTTTCATTATAGTTTTATATTTCAATATTATTTAAATTATAAATATTATGTTGTTATTTTGTTTATTAGTTGTTTTCTATTATTAACTTCCCGTAGGGTAAGTTATAGTAATCGCAAAAAATCGAAAATGAAAATTTTTATATATCTTTACGTTTCAGAGGTTTCTGAATATTTTGGCATACTTTATAATTAAAAAAAATGGATGTATGTGTGTGCATGTGTGTATATGTGTGTGTATGTGAATGTGTGTGTGCGGATACAAATTTTTGTCGACGATTTCAGGAGCTCCAATCAACCGATTTAAATAATTCAAAAAACATACGATTCGTATTGATAAGAAGACGTGCTGATTAGTTTTTGGCGAAAGCAGGTCTAGCCGTTCCGAAGATACGGGGCAAAAAGTGCCAAACACGGTAATTCAGTTTTTAAGAAAACGGATCACCGATTTTATTAATTCAAAAAACATTTTACTTGTATTGACAAGATGAAGAACTGATTGGAAAGGCAGGTCTAGCAATTGTGGACTCTCAATAAAAATAAGTTAAAAAGAAATGCCATTTGGCGGTCAAAAATGTTCATTGGACATATGCACATCAAATTATCAGATATTTTCTAGAGATTTTAGTAATGTTTACAAATTTTGTGTAAATTTTTTTGGGTTTTGTACCAAGATTTTTAATTACGGTACGGGAAGTTCCAACAATTTGCCTTAAGGCACGATGCCATGCGTCCTACTAGTTTTGGTTTAGTGTCGAAACATATAAATAATTGTCTATATATAAAGCTATCCGAGAATTAGAAATGCAGAACATTATTTAAAATAAAAATATCATTTACTACCTAATCAATATTACTCTATGAATGAATTTTTATGTTAATCATGTGATTATATAATAGTTTATTTATAATTTATATGATGAATAGTGTTAGACATGTGTGTGTATTATATATGTTATTTTTATGATATAGTGCTAGAATGTGTCACAAATTATATCATTTTAAAATAATAAATAATATATCTACTTCAATAGTTTACATTATTTTTTCCATACCTTATCATCACGTTCCTTACTCGTATAAAATTTGGGCATCCATCCTTGAGAAATCTTTGATCTCATTTCCAATCGCTTCGCATACAACTTTAACAAAATTATAAAATTAAACATTATTTTAAAAGAATCATAGTAATATTTTTAATGCATCTTATACTAACCTCTTCAATTCTATGATCGAATTGTGCAATGATATCCGCCAGAAATTGCAGGGCATCTTTAGTAAAAATGCAATCATATTGGCGTCTTAAGTCCCTTGGGCAAGGATATAGTGTGACACCAGAAACGTCTAAAAACATCTGCAAGAATTGTAAAAAAAACTTTAAAAAATTATGTACAAAGGTATTTTTTCAAAAATGATTTGATTATTCTTATAGATAGAATTTGTTTATAAAGATACCAATACGTACACCTGCCAAAGTTATAAATCCATAATAAGATAATGAGGAATAAGAAAAGCTTTCTGCAAAATGATTTACAGTTACAGATTAAAATTTTTGAAATATATATAATTATGTACACGGTTTTCTACCCTATGGGTATTCTACATTTTTTTTGTATATAGAAAATAATTCAGATTATATTTCTAATTCTGATTATAGTTCTAATATACTTTAAACAAATAATTTCAACTTTGCAATTCAGTTTATATAATTCTTATAAATATTAGACAATGTTACAATATTTATAATAATCTACTTGAAAACATCCAGTATTCCTCGAACATTTCGTTACGGTACGGGAAGTTCCAGCAATTTGCCTTAAGGCACGATGCCATACTTATTGAATGAATTTGAATATAATATAATTAAAGTAATTACTAATGAAATTACAAAAACTGGCAATGTACTATAGAAGTATTATAGAACACATATATAAATAAGTCGGGAACGAAAAAATTTCATATATGAGAATATATGTGTTTTGTGGTGCAGCGGTAAGTGCCTCGGCCTTGCAACCACATTGTTTCAAGATCCAAGTACAAATTTGTAATGGTATGCGTGTCCACTTGAAAATATAGACCCAAATATATTTCGAAGTAATAATACCCTTCTGGGGCATTGCTGCAATATATCACATCACACTTTTGAAGCAAGTATGTAAAGCAGTGGTTTCCAATCTTTAAAATTGTTGCATTTTTAACTTCTTTATCGATCTTATTTCCTAAATGCTCAATTGATATTACAATTTATTTGAAAGGCTACAAAATAATAAACAAAAATATGTAAAATTTTATTCTAACGTAATAGAGAACTACATGTTGGCAATCTCTTGAAGTAAAAATTTTGTCATATAGAAAAAGTTTAGTATACAATGTCCCTTTTCGGCCAACTATTGTAAATTCATCAAAAATTATTAAATGTCCATAACTGGACAGTTGTAAATAAAAGATATAATAATAAAAAAAAATAGAAAAAGGACATCCATTGAGTTGTGATAAAGCCACATATTAGAAAATACATTAGAACAGCTCATAGAACACTGAGAATAGTTTTGATATTACAGACATGAATATTTACAAAAATAAATTTATAAGAACCATAAAAATTAATAATTGTAAAATATTAGAACCACTGGACTGAAAGGAATTGGAAGAAGAAGAATGCAGACGAATGACGACTTACGCGAGAAGAGAAAATACAGGGAACTGAAATCCGACGCGCAGGATCAGGAAGCATGGAGGCATGAAAAGGAAAATATTTTTTTTATTTTATTCTTTTTTTATTATTTTTATTTTAATTTTGCTAACTATTAATCTACTTTGGTTTTTTTATGGAAAGGAAAATATATAAAAAAAAATGTGTAAAAAGGGGGATAGTGGTAATGGGAATGATAGGCAACGAATGATAAGGAAATCATTTATTTGCACACCATGGACCTACCTTCGGACAGACTACTATTTGTTATCAGTAACACGTATATTAGAAAGAGCTTTATAGCTTCAATAAATATATAAAAAATAGCATTCTTGTTATAAACTAAATACAACATTCTTGTAAACACCATAACGCATTATAATTCTAGGTACATTATATTCTCAAAAATAAAATTTTAAGTAATTCGCAACTGGTGTACATATGGCTTGTCTTTGTCCACCACGTGGCGCAAGAAAAGGGCATTTACCACTTCATACACATAAAAAAATATGATCCCACATGTTGCCAAAGTCCTCAAATTACATTTCGTTTTGGGTCCATTATTTTTGACCATTGAAATGGTCAAGTTTATTGGAAAAAGCATATGATTTATAGCTCCAGTAAAAAAAAAACGGATTGTTGTGAAAATGAATCTGAATTACACAAGTTGTTGAACAAAATATTTGAAAACATAAAATTTTTATATGAATTGCCAAAATGTATAAATGTTGATAAGATAAAAATATTGGTAATTACCATACTTTTATCGTAATCGTAAGTAAGAAAATATAATTTGAAATAAAATATACTCCTACTTTGTATGCATTTACTTCATATATATGTACGTAGAGCCACATTCCCACATTGAAGATGTATTATATGTATGTAACTGAATTAAAATTTAAGATTTAAGTAAGAAATTGCAATGATGATGAATATAATAATTTGTTAACAGAAATATTCAAAAATACATCTTTTTTTACTATTTATAACTAAGAAATTATAGCTCATTCGCTCATTGCCATTCTATATATGCTGGTTTTAATTTATTTTTTGTTTTTTTAAAATTGGTTAGATAAATTGTACAATTATTATATTGTTTTCGCCAGTAATTCATGTATGTGCTATAAAATTTGCATAATAGATGTATTTTACAAAAATCCCATTTTATTTGATATATGTAGATACGTAATTGTTATTTTTTTTATTATCTTTTTTATTTACAACTGTCCAGTAAAGGACATTCAATAAATTTGATGAATTTACAATAGTCGGCCGAAAAGGGACATTGTATACTACAAGGGCATGTTGGAAAAAACAACTCAGTAGTTGTTTTTCCATTCGATATAAAATTCACAATATTTTATTGATAATTGTATAATTTTAACTATTAACATCGTAAATAATTTCTTATAAATAATGATTAAGTTATTTACATTGTTAATGAATAAAATTCTAAATTCTGCAGAGAAACAAAATTGACAGATTTCTTTACATATAAAGAAAACTGAAAAATGTATACATTATAAAGATTTTATCTGATCTAAAGTTTTAACAATCAAAATCAATTGATTGTTGTTACAAAAGATTATTAAAGAATGCGTATGCCAAACAATTGACCAAAGAAGTACATTTATCAAAACTTTTATATAATAAAATAATTCAATACTCCATCAGACATACAATAAATGGATTATTAGATATATCGCCTTGTTTGAATATTACTTATATTTATGAAACATTTAATATAATAATGAATTCAATTCGATCGATGCACGTGGGTGCAAAATAATATGAATTTTCAAAGTGTCCCAGAACACAACGTCTAGTATAGTATAGATCGTAACCGTACTGAGGAAAAAATTAAGAATTTTTTATGAGCTTTGGAAATTATGAGCTTTTAAGTGCAACCTAATGCTTTGGTGAAATTGTTCTGTGTTATTGTTAATCTTCATTAATTGTGTTCATTTCAACTTTGGATCAGTCAAAAATAATAAAACAATTGCGTTAAGTATTCAAGAATTAAAACTTTCTCTTGAACTATGAATTTAAATTTTTATCTATCAGTCGACTTTGAGAGGCTCCCCTTTAAAAAAAGCACTGAAGAGTGTTGGCAAGTTTTATCAAGTTTTAATTGACCGACAAAATTTGGCAAGTTTTATCAAGTTTTATCTGACCGACGGAGGGTTAATCACATTATTATTTCCCTATATATATATATATATATATATATATATATATATATACTAGCTGACCCGGCAAACGTTGTTTTGCTAAATAAGGTATATTCTAAACCATTTCTATAGAATCAAAAATATTAATACTTTAAGTGTATAAGGATGTGTTGTTTGAATGCTATATACAATGAGGTATTATAGAAACAATAAAACCCATTAGTTTGTCTATATTTTGTCAATATGCAAGTTTTATACACTTTCTATAGAAAACATCGTATAATCCAATCCGAGTCTTTTTTGGTCTTTCGGCTTAATAATCACGTTTCAAGTTTTTCAGATTCTTTTTGGATTCTGGATTTTGTGTATAATTGTAAATAATACTACTGAGCTTATACAAAATTTTCAAATTTTTGTGAGAAGAGATAGAAATGAATTAAGTATTTCTTCTTTGACCTGCTTTTTGAAAAGTTTCAAGTAAAATTCGATGAATTAAAGTAAATTTAATAAAAAGTATATATGTAGAGCAGGGCGAGGCACAAAGGTCCAATTTGACTTTGAGCAAATATAAACTATATTGTGAAAACCATAACAATTATATCACAACAAATAACACATATCAAACAAACAATTATCTGACTACGTTTTATTATTATTATGAAGTCAATTATGTCTTCACTTGGACTTTACTTTGAATGTATAATACAAAAATAAATTAAATGAAAAAAAAATTGATATCGCCTAAATAAGGGGTCCATGACAAAGTTAAAAGTTGGCGCATTTAATCAGGATTGTAAAATACTTGATAATTTTATTATTGAAAATTTTAATTAACATAAAAAAATACCTAAGTTATTAAAAATTATATTTGATTTTTTTCATAAAGTACTTGTTGACTGATCCACGAGTATCAAGTGCTCCTTGAAGTAGATGCTAATTAACTCATCAACTAAAGATTTATAAAATCCACCTACTAAATTTAAGGTATGATATATTAAGTATATTTAATTATTGTAAATATATTTTTTTCAATTCATACTTAAATTTAGCATATTCTTATCTCAATTATATTTACTTCTTAATATGTACATTGAATCCAAAATCAGATTTGAATTTTTCAATGAAATAAAAATAAAATTTAAATTGCTAACTCCAAATTTTTGTGTTCAACTAGATCACATAAAAGAAAGACTCCCAAATTTTTTGCACCCAAAAGCATGCGCTAAATTAATGAAATCGTCCAAATTTTGATTTCCAAAATATAATTGAAAAAAAATGCATATATTCTAATAAAAAATAATTTAAATTATATTTTCATAATAACTTCTACAACTAATGGAAAAAAATGTATACTTGTTCATGTGACATTAATTGTACACAATACGTAAGAGTTATTATTGACGTCGTTGTTTACATTATTTATTTATATACTTATGAATGAATACAATTGCAAAACTAAAAAAAATATTTTTAGTAAAATCAGTAGTACATGTTCAATAATGATATCTATTCAAAGAGCAATTGGCAACTGTTTTATAAGCATGACAAATATATTCGATTATATTCGTCAATCATAATAAATAACAGGTTAATAAAACATATCGTAGTTAAAAACTGTAATTTTAAAAATTATTTAAAAAAAAATAATTATTTTTATTTATAGAAACAGAAACAAATGTTAGAAATGTAAAATACACTTAGGGTAAAAAACTATGTATATATATTATAATATATTATTATATTACAATATATTGTATCATATCTGTGAAAAAAACTGTAGAAACAACTAAATTTTATTTGGCATATTTTGAGAAATTTTAGGTTTAGCTAATTGTATCATATCCTCTTCAAAATAAATTGTAGCACAAATTGTGTTCACAATACTTTTGAAAATAATGCAGGAAAGTGTATTAAAACTAAATAGACCCCTTTAAAACTTCTATTGAAAAATCATTGAATTTTTTTTTGGAAGGTATGCACTTTTTGTATTATTTATTCTATTGGTGGCACCGTTAACCATAAACAAACACTAATAATTTATATTTATGTAAACCACTATTCGTCAAAGAAACGCATACGCAACTTATACTATACAACTTTTAATATTTATTACCACTTACAATAAAATATATTATTTGTCACAAAACTATTTAAAAATCTGTCAATTGTATTAGCATTATACAAGTACAAGTAGCCTATTCAATTCAGTATGTTGTACTGATAATTTCCATCAAGATGTTTTGTAACATAATGACCTTTGTATTATTTATTATTGTATCGGAATGAACGCAGTGCCGCTGCGAAAAATAAATATGTAGGATGATGTCAATTAAAATATTTCAATAATTAGAGAGAACAAATATTTTTATTATTATCTTGCATATTAAAGTTATAATGTTAGCCATAATTTTATTTTTATTTAATTTAATTGTAATAAATAAATAATAATATAAATAAATAAATAAAAAAAAATATTTACATGCATAAAATTATTGCAAAAGCAATGATCATTATTGGGAATACAGGTAAGCTAATCAGGAGTATTTGTACGAAACCTTTTTTTAACTTCCTGAAGAAGAAGTTTATGTTTTCATAAAAAAATCCGATTTGCTAATTTTATGTTTTCTCGACATTTCAGGCCATTCTGAATCGAATGAGACCAAATTGGGAAAATGTTTGAGTGTTTAATATCAAAAATTCATCAAAGTTTGAAAAAATATTGTAGTCAAAATTTGTGTCCAAAGTTGGTTATTGAAGTGATTCTCTAAGTATCAATTTAATATTTATCAGATTTTTTTTTGTCAATCAAAACTTTATTCAAGTTTTATAATACAAAATTGTTGAGTATACATAAGACAAATAGCTCATAGAGTTGTCATGTATTCTGATTGCTATTGAAAATAATTAAAAAAAAAAAAAAAAAAGTTGCTTTTGAGGTATGATAAGTCAAAACATTTCTTGTCAAACATTGCCAATTCATTAAAATTTTGAATAATAAGCTACAATTTTATTAGGACATAAGCACGTGTCTATGCACTATATTTAATATAATTAAAGATTTTAAAGTTTAAGAGAAAATTTAATTGGTTTTGAAGTTAATTGAGCCACAATATTTTAAAATTTAAATACAGCCCGTGAGTAAAAAAAATTGCTCACTCTTGAAATAAATCTAAGCAGTGATAAGACAGTCCAGAATTTACAATTGGTTATTTTCAAAGTAATTTTAGAAAACAAAAATTGCTTATTCTTGGAATAAATCTAAGCAGTGGTTAGACGGTCCAAAATATACCATTACTTATTTTCAAAGTATTTTTATAAAAAAAGTTGCTTATTCTTGGAATAAATCTAAGCAGTGGTAAGACAGTCCAAAATATACTATTAGTTATTTTCAAAGTATTTTTATAAAAAAAAGTTGCTTATTCTTGGAATAAATCTAAGCAGTAATAAGACTGATCAAAATTTACTATTAGTCCTTTCAAAGTATTTTATACTTTTATTTTATATAATTGATTTTTTTCTAAATACGAAAAAACTACTTAGAAATTCAAAACACAAAATTTCATAAAAAATACATACATATAAAAAAAATATACTTTTTCTGCGAAATGATTGGAAGCAACCAGCTATGCCTTAAGTAAATTGCTTTAAACTTTAAAAAATTGTAGAAAATTATCAAAAATTCATTTATAATAAATGAGAACATATATGTCATATGTTCTTCAATGATCACAAAATCATACAAAACAAATTGCGTAACATTAGTCTTTCTTCGTTCTAAAAATTATACACAATATCATGTTTACAATGCAGGTACATTTTCGGCAAAATGAATGTCGAGTTGCTGCTAGAAGTTGGAAGTTGATATGATATCAAGTAACTAATTAGCTTAAGACTAATTAATTTAAAGTGAATAAAATAGTAGTGCATGGCATCGTGCCTTAAGGCAAATTGTTGGAACTTCCCGTACCAAAAATAAAAATTAAAAAAAAATCAATTTTCTGCTGGAACTCTGATAAAAATCGATTTGAAAACTGAAAAATCGAGAAAATTGACCTTTTTGAAATATTTGATTGTTCTTATACTTTGAAGTATTTTGAAAATTGTGAACTTTTGATCTAATGCTTTATATAATAATGTAACTTTATTAACTTTGCTAATCAACTGCACCTATATGCTTATGACATCTACGATGTATGTGCTAAAAACATTCTAATTATTCCAAATTTTAATGATTTTTTTTAATTAAATCAATTCACATTTTAGGATATCATAAACTCGATCGCTATGCAAAGTTTCACAAAAATATTTATTTGTGGAAAAATCCATTCCGAAGATGTACAATAGTAATGCTAAATTAGAATACTTTTATATAATTTTTATAAAAAAATGTTTAAGTAAAATTAAAATATAATAAAATTTATTTCAAAAGTCTGTTTTATTTCATTCGTAACATCACATGGTCAAATTATACAAAATTTATTCTAATAATGTTACAACTCAACTTTTATTGATCATTTTCTCATAAATTGCCCGATCGTCTGACCTGATCATCAAGTGGAGCACCTTAGAGTCCAATAATGGCACCATTGTAACAAGTTGGCTCGGATCTTCCTTCAAAGCAAAATATTTTTACATAGAATTATATTTGATAAACTATTATTTTTTTAAAACAATATCGTTTATTAGTTTGACACACTCAATATTAAATTTGCACTGATGACCACATAAAATTGTAAGTCCGAACGAACGTATGGCAGAGTTTCAACATTATTTGATTATTATATAACTTGTAACAGACTTGAAGATTTTTTGCCCACAACTCAGTAAAATTAAAAGTATAATATATGTAGTAATGACAATTTCTTAAAAAGTTATGAATTTAGAAGGAGCAGTATATATGTGGTTCTTCTATTACAAGATAAATCGAATAAAAATATAATCATATAACATTTTTAGCAACTCAAAATTCACTTTTTAGAAAACTAAAATTTCCAATTGAAACGCGTCTTTAATGTTATATATCTAACTAATGCCAAATTGGAAGTTTCACTTCAATAAACAAAACACTCTTGCTCTCCGATTAAATGACAAATGTGTGTTTAACACAAGTTTTTGTAAGTCAAATTAGAGGTAACTTTATTAATATATTTATTTTGTTATTTAAATAACCTTTTGATACATGCGTAAATATTTTTAACAAGACACACGTCGGACTGTAAGTTCTCACCGCAAAATTCCTAAAATTTTCAACATATAAATGAGATACATATATGGATAATTTTATAAAAAGTGCATTATTTGCAATCTATATTTGATCTACAGCATTCCAAAAAAACTGAACCCTTAAGAGTGCAATATTCGGCATTTTGAAGAGGACGCAATAGTAATGACGGCAAAATTTGTTGTTGGCGCGTGCATGTAACGAAAGGTTAAATAAATGCTTGGAATAAAACAAATATATGCTATCTAAATGATATATACTCACAATTATTCTCTGAACTCGAACAAAAAAATGAAATAATTAACTCACTCACTAAACTAATTATAAAAATACAAAAATTAACTCACTAAAACTTTCCCGGTTACTTAGGCATCTCTCGGCCACGCAGCATTATGACCCGGGCGTGTATTGACGCCCGGGTCAAGCGCCATGTAGTGCCTACCAGATGTAAGCACCAAATGAAAGAAGAATTGCAATCATTGGAATAATATCGACATCCATAGATCAACAATGCGTTATTGTTAAGATAGGAACTTGTAAACAAACCATTTCAAGTTGTATCAAAATATCGATTATATACCGATAAACAATTGCCCTCCGGTGGTGTATTGGTTTTTTATTTCCTATCTACAATATTTTTTGAATGCACTTTGGATACAGAGTTGAGGGTGTCTTGTAACCTTGGCGCGCAAATGATTGTGTATGAATGAATATTATGTAAATATCGTAAATTTAATCATGATTTGATGTACCTACGACTTTGTTCACGCAGAATTTAACAAAAATATTAAGATTTTTTGCATTTTTGTGCTAAATGCTATTGCTATGAACAATATTTGCTGTATAATTAATTTCTTAGAATGAATCAACAACCATTTTGGCTTTTCTGGTATTTTCAAAAAGTTGACTTTCTTTCAATCATTTCTAATCATTTGAGAAATAAAAATCTAAATTATAATTATTTATTTTAAGAGGAAATATGTATAATGTTACTAATTAAATGAAGTAATCTGTAAGAAATTACTGGCAGGATTGCGTCTATCACGTACTTAGTCCTTGATATTGTAACTATCTAGATTAATGGTAACATTTTTTACACAACTAGAAAAGTTATGCAGACTGCCAGTTAGGTAACACAGATATAAAAGAATTATTTAGATAATTAATAAGTAATTTCTGTGAATGATGCACAATTCCATAAATTTGAGTTGGCAAGATTTTTGCTAGAAAAAGGACAAAAATTCATAGTTAGTGAATAGTAAACTAATCACTAAAGCGACCAATAATAGCTTCTTTATCTTCGATCAAATACAAGCAAATTACTCAAAATTTATAATTCAGAGATGAAAGTAAAAATCAATTTGAATCAATGCTACCTGTTGTGATATAGAATTAATCAATTATGAAGCAATGGCTGTAGCGACTCAGGCGGATATATTACTTGATATAAATTTAAAAATGGCGATTTTGATTTTGCATATTACCAGTGATATCAGTTTCCGGCAATTCTGAATCAAATCAAAATGATACGATGTTGAAGATTGATACATGATTGCTATATGTTTACATTACTTAGTAAAAACTTGAATTGATACTAATTTACAAAGTTTTTTTAATTTCATATAATTTTTTCATTAATTTATTTTTGAGTACAAGCGACTGCCCATTACATTCTTAATAATCAAATATTGACCTGTGATTTAGTTGGGTTAAGAAGTTCAAGGAATCTAATTTTTTAGAAAGAAGGATTAATAATGGAAGTACTGTTTATAGACAGGATGCATTACAACATAAAGGATTATTTGATACTTCAAAATAGTGCAATTAAAGGGATTAGGTTTTATTATTTCTATTCTGTATAAAGATTAGTAAAATATATTTATATAATTATTCATTAGACCAGGGTTGAGCATGAGGCGTTAACACTAAGGTGACTATATTTTTTCAAGTCAATAATGTTAATTTTCGTAAAATTGAACTTAAAAGTTCAAAATTATGCATTTGAGAGGCTAATTTAAACCGCCTTTTTCATATGGGCATACTATTTGTACATAACATTGTCAGACATGTAATTTTATTATCAATTAAGAGCAAAGATTCAATTTGAACCTATACTTTTCGAAAACCAGAACAAAACATCTAAATCCGGGACAAATATTGCTTTTAGAAAAACCCGAGACATAAGGTGAAAATATGGGACTGTCCCGACTAAACCGGGATGTATGGTCACCTAAGTTAACACTCATATAATTGTTTGATTGATACTGATCTTACTTAGTTGAAATTTGAGTTGATACTAATTTACGAATTATTTATAATCATATATAATTTTTTAATTGGGTCATTTTTGGGTACAAGCAACATTCTTAACCAATCAAATATAGACCTGTAATTTAGTTAGGTTAAGAAGTTCAAGGAATCTAATGTCTTGTATTGTATATATAAGTAAATTATAAATTATATATTTAAAATAGCATTAAAAATATGTATAATATTTAAAAACAGTAATGTAATTAATGTCATACTTCAAATATGATATGATCGGTTTGTGATTGTAATTAGCATTTAGAAATGAACGTTTATTAGAGAAGTAAAGCAATTTTTAATTAATAAATTCTATAATATTCGTTCACACAGTGGATTATGTTAAACAACGCCTAAACAAATATTGTTTTCTCAACTTCACTCTTCTTGTAATTGTGTTTGAAGAATTTCATTTAATTAAAATTAACATACCTTCATTGACAGCTCATATCTTTTTTACGTTTTCGCTGGCGTTATAATCTCATTCTTTGAACCGTTGTAATATTTGTCTTGCCTGAAAAATATTTTTCTCTTTAATAACTTCAAAGATTTATAGAAACTACGAATAATATAGAAATAATTTCTAATCAATAAACTTGCTAGTCATTAATGTTATTAATCAATATTTTCAAGGAACAGGGTAAAATTTTCTTCTGATTCAGGCATGCTTCATTAAATAAAAATTTGTACTACGATGTAACTTTAAAATGTTTATTTATTTATGCCGATTTCTTTGTTGATATCGGTACGCTTAAAACGTTGATGCCGATACGCATACGACAGAACTCTATTCACATACGCGACGACTAATCACAATCGACTCGTATTGAAATGATATCGTCGAGAGCGAATGACGAATCATTGGCACTCTACTCTTATCGTGACGCACTTCCGTTGCATTTGTACGGATTTACACCCTAGTCGCACCTAAAGAAGTTTTACTTCAAAAAAATATTTTTTTAAATTTTATTTATTTATTTACTCTGTAGACTATTGGCCACTTACTAAACTAATTCACACAACTATAACCATATATTTGAATATATAAATTTACACCCATACACACACATATATAAATATGCGCATACACACCTATATAAACCAATTTTTAACAATACTTGTTGAATCCCTATACCATTATTTTTGTTTCGTAAGAGATTATTGGACACTTCAAAATAGAGCAATATATGAAGTATTATATAGTATGAAGAGTATTAAATTAAATCTATATATGTTATTTCATTAGACCAGGGTTGAGCCTTATTGGTTACCACATATATCATCGAATCCAATGTGATCTGAGCCTAACAACTGGTGCAATATGTATTTCATATAATAATAAAAAACAAACTATAACACGCGCCAAAGCCACTTCCATCCAGTTTGCCGAAGACGATGAGGAGATTCATAGAAACAATTTACCAGGTGGTAGGAAAGAGGTAAGAGCACGGCGAAGAACACGGTTGATGTACCTGGGCTAAATTCAACACTAACATTTCTATCAAGAAACGCGGCGCGGATACATGGTACCGCGAAATTCAAAATTATAATTAGACGAAAATTTTTAGAAATATCTGAATTAGTAAAAAAAGTGTGTGAGTGGATTGGATTGGAAATTTATTGTGTTTTTGTAGCCATTGTGATTTTTTTAAATCTTTGTTTGAGCAAAGATTTAAAAAAAATAGACGAGATTAGTGAAATTATTTTGGATTATAGTGGGTTGTGGTGAAGGATTATTTTAGTTTGGGTGATGTAAGATTTACGAAAATTATTGGTAAGTCAAAAAAAAAATCATTTATTCTATTTTATCTTATTTTCTTTTCATTTTTGCTTTATTGTTACTTCATTTGTTTGATGATTTTTCATTATTTTGATTATGGATTTAGACTATTAGTAAAGCTTCTTAAAAGTCACCTAAATTACGAACATCTTTTCAATCAATACAAAAAAATGGATACCAATGGGTAAACTCTATTTTGATCTTAACATTACGTATTTTGAAAACATATTGTAACTGCATCTTGAAGAATAAAAAAAATATTATTTTATATAGGGTAGGTCAGATAACTTTTTTTTTTTTGAAAATGCTATATATAAACTACTGAATAATTTCTCAATCTAAATCTTTTCTATTTGAAAGTGCAATCCTTCTGGTCAATAATCGAAAATAATTTCGTTGAAATGGCTGTCAAAAATTCTAAATTGCTACAATTAAAAAAAAGTTATATGGCGGACCCTATATACAAATTCTATTGAGCAAAACGTAAGATTTCTCACAAAATGCACAATATAATTTTGTTTTGCTGATATAATTTATAATGAAAATACAGTATATTTTCTCTATAATAAATTATATGAATCTAATGATCAATTGGATGAACTAATCAAAATTAATCAAAAACTCCTCAATAAATGTTCAAAATAGTATTTTTTTCAATATTTACGATTTAAAATTTTAATAATACTAATTCTATCATTTCCAATTGTGGATATAAACAATTTTATAATCAACTCGAAGTCAACCACCAAATTTAATAAAAATTTAATAAAAGTTTAGAAAGAGTTTAATAACTGTATACATGCAAAACCCAATATATATATATATATATATATATATATATATATACTTCACAAATCGTAATTTTTTTCACAAACTCTATAATGCCGACGATTTCATCATCTGGACTATTTGTGAATAATTGGATATATTTTCATTTTTATTAATTGTTGTTTGTTCCTAAAAGCTTACTCTATACAATAAAAAATAAATGTTTTTAATTTTTTACATTAAAATAATATGTGCTAAAAATTTATTTTTATCATATAGAGGTTTAGGGTATAAACCATCAATATTATTCAATTTGTCAAAGTATTACCAGATACGATTTGATTAATACCTACAATATCAGTGCATTTCTGACTAAAAATATGAAATTACTTCTAAATTCACATTCTAAGCCATTTATTGATGAATAATAATTTTTTAATAAAATGAATAACGTAAGTTTGATTATGTTTTATTATTAATTTCCAACGCTTTATTCATTTTAGCAACACAATAAATTTCAAATAGCTTTCTCTTCATTTAAAATAAAGTTCCATACCACTATAATTTATACAATTTTAAACATTGAGTTT